TGAGACAGATCAACTCAATAGCATTAGGTCTTGGTGAGTGCTCAGCAATCCAGAGGCACTGTGCATATGTTACCTCCTTTTCACCGCTGAGGGAGAGGGTTATCAGTGAGGTACAGCAAACAATGGTTCAGAAAAAGAAAGTAAGTTCCCAAATAGAGCCAGGTGTCCAAACCTGGTCATTATAGTCAAGTGACCTCTTTCCACTGCACAGTTTTATTTCACTCTTCTTGGACCCTATGGAAAGACATGCTTTCCATTAGAGTGGCCTGAATATAAGGTCCGTACTGATGTTTGTGTTTGTCACCAAAGATCACTTTTGGATCTCTCTTCATTTAACACTGAATCTTGATATAGACCACTTCTTTCTCTTAACACTTATTTAGGGCACAAGCTCACAGTGGGGTGACTTTAAACTACTAGTTACAACTGCATGAGAATAATAATGTAGCAGCTTCACAGAAATGCCTTGTGAAGAAAACCATATCACCTCTCAATCACACAATCTCTAAGACCATGACTGGGTGGTCCCTTCCCCTCCAAATCATAATAATTAGAAATCAGCAAAGTAGTTTCACAGAGAATGTGCTTCTCTGTAACTCAGTTGCTTCAGAGCACTGCATTTGCTCTTATTTGATGAACAAGATGAACAAGAATAAGGACTACATGTCTTTCTAAGGCAGATGTAGCGATCATGTTCCTCCAATTTTAGGATGTGTAAGAGGCAAATTAATGAGAGTTTGAGGGATGTGGAGAAGGAAGAAGCCAAGGGGAAGACCATTGGTACTGGGGTCACTGAGGGGGATCCGTGCCCAAGGTATAGGGAGGATCTGTTTATTGGGAATCCCTGGTGTACAAAGAGTAAGTCAAAGAATATTGCTACTAGGGTTCCAGTCCATACATGCATGCATGGGGTTATTCTAAGCAAAACATGTTTAAACACATCTCTGTGATCAGTGGATGCCTGCAGACAAGTTCTTTCAATAAAACACAAATAAAAAAACACCAAAATGTTCAGTCAAAACAGTGGCTTCCAAGGCAATCTGCAGGGTCAGTTAAATTCAAGGCAGAGAAGTCAGTTCAGAAGGTGATGGAAATGTTTTTGGGATGATCCCAAAGTGATAAACTTGGTAGATTTTCTTATAAAGTACACAGAATGATCATTGGTGCTTACTAGGAAGAAGTTTTAAGAAAATGGAAAACTGCATTGGTGAGAAACAGTACTGGAAAGTTGGGTCAAGGAATTTTTTTTTATCACAACAAATGTACCTGTTCATTCCAAACTGCTTATCTAAAAGCTAATGTTGTTGTTGTTAGGTGCCATCGAGTCAGTACCGACTCATAGTGACCTTATGCACAGCAGAATGAAACCCTGTCCGATCCTGGGCCAACCTCATAATTGTTACCACGCTTGAGCCCATTGATGCTGCCACTTTGCCAATCCATCTCACTGGATTCCTCTAATAGAGGAGGAGAATCTGGCATGCCAGAGGACTGAGATGGTTTGTCTCAGAGCTTTCTATCATTCACCTTACTCTCCCACCACCCCTACAGGGAAGTAAGATTTATTGTCCCCCTGTTAAAGAGAGAAGGGACTAATACTATACTCCCAAGCCATAGGGCTAGTTGGAAGACAGAGCTCAGCCCACAACACTCAGTGTGACGGGTTCTCAATTCCATACCTTCTGACTCTGGATAGTCTCATCCCATCCAAACCCAGAAGTCCTGCTTATTTTTATAATTAATATTACTTTATAGCTATAATGCCCTTACTTATTTGTGCATATTCTAAATGTAACCCAAATTATGTGGCCTGAGTCTACATTGCCTATGACACCTTTTTAAAAGGAGAGGAAATTGATCTTCATCAATCTTGATTTCTGAAGTTTAGTATAGATTGAAAGTCACATGGATTTTAGTATCTAACCCTATTGCCATCAAGTCAATTCTGACTCACAGCAACCTTATAGAACTGACTAGAACTGCCCCAGATGGAGTTGCTGGTGGGCTTAAACCCCAGACCTTTCAGTTCGAGCCGAGTGCTTCACCACTGTGCCACCTTTTCATCAGCATCTATTACCCTTCCACAGAAGGTAGCTGGGTGGTGCAAGTGGGTTTGTACTGGCCATTGGATCCCATTCAGTGTCACCCCAGAAGAAAAGGAGTGGCATCTGCTTCCATAAAGATTATAGCCAAGAAAACCCTCTGTCTGGAGTTCAGTTCTACTTTGTAACACATGGGGTCAGCATGAGTTGGCATTGACTCAAGGACACAAGACAACAACAACCACCCTTATACAGGACTATGTGTAGCAGTCATCAAAGAACATCAGCTTCTATTGGGAGTCTAACGTTGTTAGTCTTCCTTGTGGTGATACTTATTAGCTCATTCCCAGATATTCTTTTGGTGGACAACTGATTTATTAGAGGAGTCTTTATTATTTAAGGACAAATCTGAATCCTTGAAGCTTCCAATTTCTGTTTATAGTTTTGCCTTCTGAAGTCACTAACGTCAGTGTATTCACCACCCTGGTACCTGACTCCAGCCTTGGAACTGCCCTTCAGAAAGGAAGGCCACATGTCTGTAATGCCCTCATGACCAAGCATCATCTGTTGTTGCTACTTACCATTGATCCCCCAACTCATGGCAACCCCCATGCACAACAAAACAAAATGGAACAATGCTTGGATTTGTGCCATCACCATGGTTATTACAGAGAGTAATAACTACAGTTATTTCATTGGCTGATTTTTGGAAGTAGATCATCAGGCCTTTTTTTCCTAGTCTTTCTTAGTCTGTAAGCTCTACTGAAATTTGTTCAGCACCGGAGCAGTACGTAAGGCTCCACTGACAGATGAGTGGCAGCGACTATGCATGATGTGCACTGACCAGTACTTGAACCTGGGTCTCTCATCTGAAAGGCCAGCCTTCGACCACTGAAAGTCTGGCTACCAGGCTCCTCAGCATCCAGGAGGCTGTTGTTTGGAGGCTGTTTTCTCTGGTTCATCAACAAGTGGCTTCTAGGAAGCCTTGGTGCCAAGGATTAAAAACAACCCTCCCCATGAGGTCTCACCAGCACCATTTAAGCTGTCTTCACTGTTTCTTCCTCATTAGGTAGTGTCTCTTTTTTTCCCTCTCAAGTTCCTTCCTCTCCATGGGTTGCTTGCTATTTGTGGATAACATTTAGCTAGTTCTCTGCTTCCTTTCCTGAAAATATCAACAGACTCGATGTTTGGTACCTAATCTTCTTTTTCATGCCTCATATCTCCTCTGTTCCCCATCCTTAAGCTTTCTATCCAGGCATGTGTTTTTCTTTACATTTGTGGCATTTGGTACAGTGATCAATTATCTCGGGTAATTGCTTTTCATTTGAGAATCCCTATTCTTCCTCATTAAAGACTAGACAAGAATACTTACTCTCATTGACCAGGTGCACCAGATCTCTTACTTATCCCCAATTTGCCATTTTGCAGTTTAGTAGTTAAGGGACCAGTCACTGAGGGCCATAATTGGAGTAGTTTGTGCTTGCTCGGTGGGGACAGCTGGCTCTTCTTCTCTATGCCCTCCTGGCAAAAAGACCCTTGGTGCTATTTCCCTCTGAGCTCCTTCTCATAGAGGTTGCCTGGGGTTCTGCTAAATTCACAAGGGAGAACTCATCTTTTGTTTGTTTCTTTCTTTCTTCATGAGGAATGTCATATACATCTTTATAAGCCCTAATCCAATTCAGCTTTCTCTCCCATTTTCCAGTTATCTCGGTACTATTGTTCACTCTTTCTGAGGTCTTAAAATGAAGCCATTTGATGAGCTTCATTTTCTGTTCAGTGTAAAATACATTTTGTTTACTTTATGTGTTGCTATTATACATGGGATTTCTTCTTGTTTATTAGACATCGCCCCTCTTCCCCCAAAATGTCAACAATGCCTCTGCTGCATATTTAAGAATTCATATGAGTTCAGAGTGAACACTGGAAGGGAGGGTACACTCTGGAATTATAGCTTAAAATTCCCGTCAGCAACCCTTTGGAGATGTAAATTGAGGAAGTGGCTCTCCTTTTGGACAGCTTAATGATCTGTAGTTAATAGTAAGAGGCTGATGGGCAGATGCAGTACAGCTGGGCTTAGGTTAGCCTTTCTCAGCGCTCCAAATTGCACCCTGATTACAGCCATTGAGATTCAAAATCCTACCCTGAGTCAATAACCAAATGCACAAACAATGATTCTGTCTCTCCCGCTGGTGGCTTGTCAGCAGGACCTGCTCTCCCTACACAGACAAACATTTTGCTACCATCAGTAACTGACACCTCCTTCCAGAACCTTCCTCTAGCCTGGTGAGAGGTTTCTCGGCTGCCCATCACCTGCACAGCAAACAATCCCTCAACAACTGTAGGATGAAGGTGTTGGATTTAGGGCCAACTGCTCCTTAGTTGAGTGCACACAATTTCAGTGGACTTGGCAGAAATTGAGTATAAGCTAGTAGCAAAATATAGGTCTGGGAGACATACATTATACAGCTCCTAGAGGTCATTAATATTTTCCTATGTCGTAGATGTAAAATTGGCTTGCAGTTACTGTGTGGGAGTGTTAGGTTCATTTACAAATCCCCAAAACTAAAAAGCAAACCAGTTGCCATTGAATCAGTTCCAACTCACAGTGACACCATGTGTGTTAGAGTAGAATTGTGCTCCATCCGGTTTTCAATGGCTGTCATTTTTCAGAGACAAATTGCCAGGCTTTTCTTCCAAGGCATCTCAAGTGGATTTCAAACATCCACCTCTCAGTTAATAGCTGAGTGCTTAGCCATTTGCACCACCCAGGGACTCCTTTACTTACAACTCCCAATGCCTTATAATCTTTCCCACAAGAAGCCCAAGTGAAGAATACTGCTTTCTCCCAGCAACTGAGGCTTTGAAGTGGCAGATTAGAAATACAAGGAGAAAATAAACATAGCCAAGAGGATGGATCTTGACATTATACACACCTGATTATAAATCTTTTTTCTACAGAGTCACTTTTCACTCAAGAAAGGAGCTGCAGCTCTGGGGATTGGAACAGACAGCGTGATTCTGATTAAATGCGATGAGAGGTGAGTATAAATTTCTGAACCTTGGTCAGACATTTGCAGATTCTACACAAATACCTCTTGGTCAGAAATGAGGTGACAATGGTGAGGCAGACAGCCTACTTCCGCCCTTGCCGCTGCTGTAGCTCTTCCTTCCTAGCATGGGCACTTGTTTGCAGCTCTCAGAGTCAGGGAGACAGCCCCAGCCCTGGACTTAATCTGAATCTTTTTTAAATCAATCAAAATATTCTGCACCAACAAGATGCAGAAGAACGTTCATCACCTGGACACTTTAGCAACAACAGGCAGTTGTTGGTTGTTGATTGATGGGGTAGTATCACACTAGACATCATGGATTGTGTAAACCTGCCTGGGTGATTATGGGAGGGTTGGACAATTTAGTCAGCAGAATGTAAATAATGTCCCAACAGAGCATCAACTTCGTGCTGGAAGCAAAGTGCTCTCTTGGGAGAGATCCCTGTCTTCATTGGCACCTGAACTGCACAGGCACTCTGGAAATAGCTGTGACGGTTTGAGGAAAATAATTTAAAAACATTTCAGGCTGTCCATGTAAATTGTCACTGATCTATAGGTCTACAAGGTGAAACATACAGTTTGTGCTTAAGTACTAACCAAGCTCATTCAGAAGTGCTGTGGAAGAAAGGTCTGGCGATCTGCTTGCTTTCAGATTACAAACAAGAAAATTCTATGGATTGCAGTTCCACTCTGTAACACATGGAATCATCATGCGCCTGACTCAACTTGGTGGCAAGGGGTTTATTTTTACGAATAGGCCTAAACCAAAACAATTGGCTTCGAGTCAATTCTGACTCATAACAACCCTGTAGGACAGAGTGGAACTGCCTCATAAGGCTTTGAAGGCTGTACATTTTTATGAAGGCAGTCTACCACATCCTTCTCCCACACAACAGCTGTTTAGTTTGAATCGCCGACCTTTTGTTAGCAGCTGAGTGCTTAACCACTGTATCACCAGGGCTCATTTTGGATCATGAGTTCCAACTCATAGCGACTATGTATAGGGTTTCCAAGAGCAGCTGGCGGGTTTGAAGTGCAGACCTAGCCGTTGCCAGTCCAGTGCTTATTTTACAGAGCCACACCAGGGCTCTTGGATAGGCCTTATTGTTGCTGTTAAACTCTGTTGAGTAGATTATGACTCATAGCAACCCTGTATAGGATATCTGAAGAGTAGTTGGTGGGTGCGAACTGCCAACTTTGTGGTTCACAGCCCAGTGCTGATCCTACAGTGCCACACCAGAAGTCCCTTGGAAAGGCCTTTGTTAAGTGCCGTCAAGTCAGTTCAGACTCACAGCAACCCTGTATAAGGTTTCCAAGGAGCGGATAGTGAGTTTGAACTGCCGATCTTGTGGTTCTAGTGCTTTACCAGTGCCATATCAGGTCTCCTTAAATAGGCCTTGGATAGGCCTTGAACAGGCCTAGAGCCTGCTAAAAATTAGATCCAGTATTTAAAAGAATCTAGTAAGCACTTTTATTAAATAAACAAAGATGCCACTCAATTAACTATTTTTGTAAACATATTTATTTATTAGAAAGACATTTATTGACTGTCCACCTTATGTTAGGGGTCCTGGTATGGCTCTGTAGATAAGTACTGGACTGCTAACCTCAAGTTAGTCAGTTCAAACCCACCAGCAGCTCCTTGGAAACCCTGTAGAGGGTTGCTTTGAGGCAGAACCAACTTTATAGCACTTAACAACAACACCCATGTGTAAGGAACTTCATTCAGCTCAAGGAAAGCATCAGGCATAAGATCCTGATAATGTCTGCTCCTAAAGAAGAGATCAAACAGCATCAAAAGAAGATAGTTATATATTTGAGTTGTGTGACATACGGTATACAATCTGCATGTTGGCACACCCAGCTGGCTTCACAGGGCAGGTGAGCCTGAGGTTTTTAAATTAAGGATGAATTGGATGGCTTAAGTTACCACACGGCAATTATACAAATTGAATACATAGAAATATAAATGACTAACAAGTTGTAAGGTTCCAAGAACTGGGCCTGACCAAAAGTGATGGGGTAAGGGAGGAAGCCATGGGAAATAAAGCTGAACACGTGGAATGGTTTGTGTGTGTATAGCAAAATATATGTATATAAGAAAATATTTACCATTTTAACCATTTTTACAAGTACAATTCAGTGACATTAATTGCATTCCCCACCTTATATGACTATCACCATTATCCGTTTCCAACTTTTTTCATCACCTTTAACAGAAGTTCATACTCCCTAAGCAATACCTGCCCATCTCCCCCTCCAACCCACCTCTCTTGTTCTTGTTGTTGTCAAGTGCCATCGAGTCAATTCCGATCCATAGAGACCCTGTATAGGGTTTCCAAGGAGCAGCTGTTGAGCTTGAACCACCGACCTTGCAGTTCAAATGGCTTTGCAGTCTGGCACATTAACCCACAGTGCCACAAGGGTCCCTCAAGTTGTTTTTGATTCTTTCTACTCCTGAGGTTTTGAGCTGAGGAGGATGGAGAGGGAGGGATCAGTACAGGAGGAAAAAGAAAGACAGAAAACAGGAGAAAAAAACAAAGGACAAGAAACAAAACAAAAGAAAAGCATCATCTCGATGATTACAATCCCCTCCATGCAACAACAGTTACCCCACTTCCTCCCTATGGTTCCTATTCCCATTCCACACACTTTCTAATGCCTTCTCAACTTTGGCCTTAGGTAAATGTTGCCCTTTTGATCTCTAATGATTGACCATTCCATGGTGAGCACACCTGACTAGTGTTGTTGTCCCCTATATACTGCTTGGCTGAAAATTGAGCCATGAAGTTTAGTTCCATCCCAGATCTGCAGGGTGGTCAAGGGCCATAGTCTAGTGTTCCTCCAGTCTTTTCCTGACCAATAAGCCAGGTCTTTTAATAATCTTTTTTTTGCACATTTTCTGACATCTATTCAGGACCTTCTAATGTGATTTGTTTCAGAGCAGTGGATAGTGGTAGCTGGACACCGTCTAGTTATTCTGGTCTCAGAGTGGTGGTGATTGATGTTCACCTGCTCGATGGGCCCACTGGACTAGTTGATTCTAAGCATCTTCAATTTTCATGAAGACCAATAGTTGCACCTTAGATGGTCTCTCATGAGCTTTTAAGATCCCAGATGCTACTCACCAAAGTAGACTATAGAACATTGTTATGCCGATTAACCATGGTGTCCTCTGAGACTCAGGCCCAGGAACTCATTGCCTTAAGAGATCAATAATATCTAAGAAGTTTTCATCATTTTGCCCTTTGTGTGCTCTACCACATTCATAAGTGTGTTTGCAGCAAATATCCTCTTTCAAACCCTTATATATATGTGGGTATCTTCCCACTCTCCCTCACATACCTGTTCAGCCTGTATACATGCAGAACACTGTTATTCCAAGATTTTGTTGTTCCAAGTATTTCATGTTTTTGGGTAATTATTATAAATGGTGTTGTTTTCCTGATTTCCTTTAACCCTTATATATCTCCGTATCTTAACCTGTCTTCATAATACTTCTGTCAACCTTCTTATATGCCCTCCCTGTCACCTGAGCTAACATATGCCTGCCCTCTAGCCAGTGAACAACTCTCTCTTCCCTTCCACCCCTGGCAACCATCAAAGAATATTTATTTTAGCATGAAAACCTTTTCTTGGATTTTTACAGTAGTGGTATCATACAATATTTGTCCTTTTCTGAATGACTGATTTCACTCAACACAATATCCTCCATGTTCATCCATGTTAGGAG